TAAATTTGGTACAGGATGCTGAAGTCTTTAGATTTGCAATACGCCCGTTTTAGTTGACGTAGTTTAGCCCTAGCTTTGTAGGTGATATAAGGAGTAACTGTTTTGAAAGACGTTTTGAGTGGGATAGTAGTGTCTAGAGCAGATTTGATGGTGACGTTGAATATATCTAATGCATCAGGAAGTTCAAGACAAGAAAAAACGCAGTTCAGACTGAGTGCTGAATTAGAAACCGAAAGCTGTCCCAGTCAGCATGTTTATAGTCTCTGTATTGAAAACGGTTTACTGTTTTAGATTTGTCACATTTAGCAAAAACCGGAAGGGTGCAGAGGACAATTTTATGGTCACTGTTGTGAAACGTTTCGCAGACAGACACAGATGTTGGGGCGACATCGTGACAAAATACCAAATCGATAATGTTGTGGTTCCTAGTAGGCAGGTGCACATGTTGTTGCCAACCATGTGTGTCTAGGGGACCAAGTAAGCTATCAAAGCGTAGTGGACCGGAATTTGTCTGCCAGTTGATTCCAGGGAGGTTGAAGTCACCACAAATAATTTTGCAGGTGAATTTAAGACAGACAACCCTGGCAAACAACTCACCAATAGCAACGTCAACCGATCGATTAGTGTTTGGAGCTCGATATATGCATCCAACCAGTATTTTACATTCATTGGCGTGCACAGTCAGCCATATCGAATCAGGCACTTGATTAAGAACAGTATCATAAAACATTTCTGCATTGATGTCTCTAGATACATAGATGAGGCAACCACCACCCATTTTAGATGCTCGGTCACCGCGAAACAGTTCATAAGAGTCTATTAGAAGGTATGAGTCAGGGACATCGGAGGACAACCAGCTTTCAGTAATCAGGACAATGGAAGGAGTGTTTAGAATTACTAGAGAGCGTAAGTGGGTAATCTTATTGATAACAGATCGGGAATTAATTAGCATTAGTGTAACATAGGATGAATACTCATCTTTCAGGGATGCACGATGGGCATCTGGAGGGTTGTATGTTGTGTGTTCTGAAGAAGGGCTGAAAGTGGGAATATAGGCTTGGTTGTTATGGTCAGTTAATTTGGGAGCGATATAGTTAGAGGGAGAAAGTTATTCAGAGACAGGCATGGTGAGAGAAACATGTGAGGTAGGATATGATAAGTGTTGTTCGTCAGAGTTAACTGATGACCCCCAAAGAACAGATGAGGAAGTCGCTAGCGGGCATAAGTGTGGATCGTTTCGTAAGTCCATTGGATAAGGTATAGTGGAGTAAGTCAAATCTTTGGACAATGTGAAAGGTGGTTTGTCAAAAGGACCAGACATAAAGGGGCAGACAGCGACAAAGATCGATTGTCATTCATTACATCACAGAATGCAGAGCATGACTTGAAGGAGGGGGAAATATCGCCCTCAACAGCTGGAGGTAGAAAAACAACTCTGTTGAAGGAGTGAGCGTTAAAATAGGGTTAGGTACATGTTTTGGAGAGACTGAAGAATTGCAAAATGTATTTCGGCTAGGGTGGTGTCTAGGAACATTAGGCGGATGCCCAAGCTGGCTAGTGTTACGATTTATCTCATCAACTCTAGGCATACTAGTCTTTTTGTACGCGAAGAAGAATGGGACAGGAAAATTCAGTGTGAATTAATGAGTCGTGACAACGCGTCTGCTTGACCGAGTTGTGGAGTGCGTCGATATTGGATTTCGAAATCATAACCCAAAAGCACCAAGGCCCATTGCTGAAGACTATTTGCAGAATGGGCTGGAATGCCAGATTTAGAACCGAATACTGCTAATAGAGGTTTGTGATTTGTGAGTAGCGTGAATCCCCGACCGTAGAGAAACTTGTGGAAACGGTGAACAGCAGACACAAGGGCAAGAGCCTCTTTCTTTATCTGGCTGTACTTCCTTTCTGCTGGACTTAGTGTACGGGATGCATGCAGAACGGCTTTTTCTGACGCGTCTGGAAACTGATGTGAAATAACAGCACCTAGGCCATATATTGAAGCGTCTGCTGCTACGATTATCGGCATGGATGGATCGTAGTGTGTTAATAACAATTCAGAGCTAATTATAGACTTGAGTTTACCAAAAGCCGCGTCACACTCTTTAGTCCAGTTCCGTGTGCGAAATAACTGATCAGTCCGAGAAAAGATCGTGATTCCGAAACATTAGTGGGAGTGGGCATCAGTTTGATAGCTCGGATGTTCTCAGGATCCGGTCTGCGACCGTCAGCATCAAAGATGAATCCCAAATACTTTAACGACTGCAATAGAAACTGGCATTTCTCTGGGTGTAACCGGAAACTGTTGTCACTGATGCGTTGTAGTACCAATGTCGTGCGTTCCCGTATCTGTTCCGATGTCTTCGCAACAATTAAGATATCATCGAGATGAGCTGCAGCCACGGTGATATCTGATAGGACAGTATCCATTAGTTGTTGGAAGATAGATTGGGCAGTCTTAACTCCAAAAGGCAGACGGATGTACTGGAACAAACCACGATGAGTGTTGATAGTAAACAGCTCTTTAGATGCTTCATCGACTTCCACTTGCAAATAAGCAGCAGCTGGATCGAGCTTGGCGAAGAACTTTCCCCCATTCATCACAGTAAACAGATCTGCGGGGACGGGCAGAGGATAATGATGCTGTTTCAGAGCTGCGTTTCGAACTGTAGAAAAATCAGCACATATATGTATCGTGCCGTTGGCCTTCGTGATAACGACTATAGGTGCTTCCCAACTAGCGTAAGAAACAGGAGTAATTGAAGGCGATCCAACTCCTTATCTACTGTTGCTAATGTTGCGTAAGGTACGGCTCTCTTTGGACGGAAAGTAGGCTTAGCCCCAGGTTTCAACAGAAGTGTTGCTTTCATGGCAGTGCACCGACCTAATCCAGGTTCAAAAATGGTTGAAATCTCTGTCATCAGCTTCTTCGTATATGCTTCGGGGTCATGTGGTTGTGATGCCAGGTGGCATATGGTATTTAACGGGACATCAGCCAATTTTGGCTGGTCAAACAATTCTAAACCAAGTAAATTTAGATCAGCTGGCGTTACATAACATACCCAAGTAAATGCCGAGTCTCAGGAGGCAACTTTACATTAGAAATTGTCCTAACAGACGAAGGTAATTACCACATGCTGTACGAGGCTTCTGTGTTGTGTTCTGCAGGCTTGGGCTACCCAATTTGGTCCAATTTTTGCGTGAGAGGATAGTGATATCAGATGCGGTATCTATCTAAACAAATGCTCGTTGACATTAAGAGTAATAAATTTCCTCTCACCTGTTGATGAGCTTTGGTAGGAAGATATTAGACCCAATGCATTGGTACCGAACCCAGGAACAGACTTCTTAGCACTTCTGGATCGGTTCGGCTTTTTCTTTGGACAAGAACCATCTTTATGACCGATGACCTTACACTTCCTGCATCGATGTCCCCTAAATGGGCAGTTCCATACATAGTGCCATGAGCAGCAGTGCCGGCAAGCAGCAGGGGGATTCATTTTTGACTTATGGGCAGAGATGGAGTGAGATGAAATGGGTGTAGCATGGGCAGATTTATTCTGATTAGGTGGCTGCTGTACCAAATGTACTTCAGATTGGCTTCAACTACCACCCTGCACTATAGTTGAGTCTCCTTGTAGGCTAATGAGACGTTGGTACTCATTAGCCATGTCATTAAGCATGAGTTTCGGATCTTGCTCTAACCAACATAGTAGCCTTGTTTTAATGTCACTGAACTTATGAGACTGGAGGCTGCAGATGACTATAAGGGCTTTAAACTGATCTTCCGACAAAGACTTCAACCGAAAGCGTTCTCATTCACGGTTGACAATGCCCACGTGCGTAAGAAAATCATCATCTTCGTTCATAATTAGCTTCAAACACCGATAACTAGTATTAAACAGTGACGAGTTGTCGCCAAAGTGTTGGCCCAATGTCTGAACTGTCTCAGAAAATGAACGATCTCGTGGGTTCAAAGGCAGGATCAAATTGCAGTACTTGTCCAGCTCACTTGCACCCAACTTTTGAAGTAGCAGCCGAACCTTCCAAGCATCATCTTGGTTGGCGAAATCAAATTTAAATAAGTCTTCATAACGCCGGAACCACATATCAAAAGTAACATTGGCATCAGGATCATAATGAAATTCAGCTATGCTATTAGCGATTCCGTCGACCGATAGAGCTGTGGTTGCATTAAATGAGCTGGGCTATATGGAAGGGGAAATCTTCATCTCTCTTAACATCTGCATTAGTTTCAGCTGCTGCTCAAGAAATAATTAAAGATTGACAGGATCCATATTTCCAAAACCACCGTCGCCAATTGTAGGGTTTGTCATTACGTGCGCTTGAAGCTATTGCGAGTTCACCATAGTCGATAAACGCGGACGAGAAAAGTACCAGCGTCTAGCTAGGCAACCTGGAATCCCAAATGCAAAACAGATGTCTCGATAAGCGTAGAAATTATATTCTACAACACCCAGCAATCACAAATGCAATCAAGCACACAGCTCTTGTTTATTTATACATCATAGAAACGTCCTTGGGACAAAATTGCACTCTAAAATACACAGCAGCAAACACAGAGATGGATTTTCCTGATGGGAAATGAAATCTCAAGGTCAGCTGATCAGCCCAAGCTGGCAAACGTGAAATCCATAATAAGGCAATCACAAGCATGTTTTGGAAATCTAACATACACAAAACTTAGGAAAGCAAACTAAATATCTAGAATATACACCGAACACTTCTCTGCTAAAATATGGCGAAAATTCTATTGCGTTATGCGGTTAACAAGCAAAATGTACTGCTAAAGTTTCATCAGAAAAGAATGATTGCTATCGACACGAATTAGTCAATATTAAGTGAAACTAGTGATAAGGAGATCAATACAACCAAAACCTGGCACGAATACACTTAAACAAAACAGATTTTAATTTGACGAGTTTAAAAATGAATTTAAAAAGTTTTAGGCAATTCCATAAATATGAAAATTTTTTAATTTGTTATTTACTGGAGTGTCGGTAGACGACCTTTGGATGACTTCTTCACCGATATCTAATGAATTTAAATCGTCTCCTGAAAAGTGTATGCGATCAACATCAGTAAACTTTTCCGTTAACTGGCAGAGATGATAAACTTCTTCACGATAAAGAGCCGTGTAGCTGACCATTCCCGCCATCCATGGATAGCAAACAAGACCAAGAAACCAATGTGCACTGAAAGAGTTTTAACAATGACGACCAGTCAATCTGAATATACAGAATGTTATACAGTTTATAAAAGGTAAACAATCAGAATCAGTGAAGATGGATTTTACTTTTAAATACTAAAGAACAATGAACAGCAGTGGTAGTGACTAAACGAATAAATATACCTTATTTACCAATCTAAGTCAATGTACTCAGTTTCAGTTAGTATTTCTAGTGTAAAGAGTTCGTGATACAACTCACCCGAATAAATCTAAGTAGATGGGTATTCAATTTTTTAAACCCGTAATTAATAGGTCATGTGTTTACTTATCTCAAAAAAGGCTGACAGCAGTACATAGCAGTAAATGTGCGGATTACTAACAGAAGCTCAAAACATCAAAGATGGCGTCGAACTATTTTTAAGTTTAACTGTTAAGAAGAAACATTGTGTAGTCACGTTACTCAAGACTTCGTTAGACGACTTAAAATATAGTTTGGTGCAACAGCTCACTGGTTAACGCACACTTTTTAAACGTCAAGCTGTAGTTTTGTACTCGGTTTTATGGACTTCGTTCGCACAACTGGATAGTATTGTCAACTCTCTACAACTGTAGGCGTGTGTTTTATGTGTGGAAAGTGTTTAGTGGATGAATTTCCCATCGAAATTAACGGATCATATAGGACATCCAACCTTATGTAATAACTTTAACTGTCCCAAATACAATTTCGTTTGATTGTTAATGGGAGACTAAGTGAAGTATCAATAATACTTGTAAAATAGAGGTCCAGTAGGTCAACGGTACTATCAATACATTTGAAATTTGCACTGAGATAGAAGTTTCATGAGCGAAAGTTTACGAATGGTTGTACCAAAGTTTATCATGTAAGAGGTTCATTCTTTCCGCGATCAGTACCGCGAATTATAGTGCTCATTGCGAGTCCTAGATATACTAGAATGGATCCTGCATATGATTGTGAGCGTACAATACTGCGGGCTGTGAAACTAGAACAAAGCGTAGCTATTCAATTCAACCTAGTTTTTGAAAGGTTTTGTCTAGTTAATGCCCGTCCAGGAGGTGAGCGATTTTAAAAACAGAGAATTGGTATGTTTGCTGAATGAAACTCCGAAATAAATTGCTTTAAAAAATCTAAACAGATAAAAGTCAAGTTTGATAGCGTTATATTAACAAATTTGATTATTGTTTAATTTAACGTTAAACACAATAATCCAAAATGTTCAACTAGCTTAACATAATTACCCCTCCCCATGTTAAACGAAGTTAATTTTCCTGAGACCTACCATTCATTAATCGGAATGATAATATAATCTTTACTGAAAAGATCAACTCGGCGTGTCCATTTTGCAACATTGGCATGCTGAGCAAGAATTGTTCTATAAATACAAGAATTGGGAATACACTGATTGAATAAATACTTTTTGAAAGGGATGGTTGAATATTATGAATATTTTTGAATACATGTTGGCGTTTTCAAAGTTCGTTGAGAAGTTATCAACCACATAAAAATAGAGAAAAACTTCTCAACTAATGTTTATTTGTGCCATGTAGTCAGTATTTTAACGTAATGCCATTATGATTAAAATGATCCCAGAATTGTCGCTCAGAACTTTTGGTGTGAGTGGATCACTTACTGATTGAACCTGTACAGTGATATAGTCGAGATACTGCTTCAGAGTTTCTTTTTACCAGAACAAACATAACGTCACGATAATATTATCAGTGAAATCGAGAAAAGAGGCGAGCCAATTATTCTACCCAACTTTTTCGTAATTATCGACTGGCCTTTTAGTTTTTAACTGTTTGTATCTTGAAAAGTTTTAAAAAACTTAAACACTTCAATGTTAGATGAAAGATATCAATCTAGTTTGGTTAGATCTGTATTCTAATCACTTTCGTGAACCCATGAAGTCACTGACAGCTGGTTTAAACTAGATGGTAAAGGTAAGACTTATGACTGTTGTCAAACGCAGTAGTCGTATTCTGTGGTTAGGAGACACGGGCTAAAATCAATCACTGAAACAGTTAGATTCATTATTTGTATTAGTGTAAATATTGAGCTTATCGTAATATTTTACGGTCGATTCTTCGGTTGTATTTTTATTTTTTAATCATCACCTCCTGTTCACATTTCCAACAGTCTTTTACCTGCTTCGCATATTTCGACTTGCTCTCTTGCTATGATAATATAAGGCGTGACAACTCGAATTCGTACATATGTTATAGGTCTGGAAGTTGTCCATGATGGACTGACAGTAAAGTATGACGACTTCAATGAGAGGTTTAAACTTCGATGGAAAATAATTACGGTTTTCGTCAGAATACCAGGGGGGAGAAAATTTTATCTGAAAATGAATCCCACTTGTATAAAGATACGGTAAAATCTTGAGGCAGTAACAATTTACTATTGTTTTTACCGGGAGACTTTATAGGATGAACAGTTGTTTTTCTGTTGAAAGTTTGTCAAACTATCGGCTATAGTATTTCGATACATACAGTTCATTAGGCCCGAAAATTAATGTTCCGTCGATTAGTTTGAAGTGCTAATTTATACTCATTCTTGTTAGCACATGGTATTTTAAATGAGTATTTCATTTGCTAAAACTTTATACATGATCTTTAGTTATCTTCATCATTCCATACAAGATCGTTATTCTTTTGAAATCGTTATTGGCAATAAACGACTTTACTTTTATTATATATACAGTAACTTTCTATACTGATGTAAACAATAAACATGGAGCAACTGAATAAGTCGGATACAGAATTGCCACAGCCTGATGTATACATTTTTGAAATCAAAGCGGATTCATTTAATATAACAATGATTAGTCAAAACGTCTGGTATGGTACTGGATCTCAGTTCAAATTTATAGTTGCGCTAAAAAAATTACTAACAAACGTCGAAAATCAAGACCTGAATATTTTCAATTTGAAAAGATTGAAACTCTTGTATGCATTAACGACGTTTTACAGACAACATGAGCTTAGTTAATATGCCTGCTCCTTGACTAGTTACGTTTTCTATCAATGGTGTGTGGAAATGATGCAATATACACGACAGAGAAAGAATAAGTTACTGCACGATATTCGATATACTTTACAACGATAAACAGTGGAATAAATAACAGTAGGTTTGAATTGAGGATTCATTTGGCCGTAGACGTAAAACACGAACACATATAACACTAAAAAACTTGAACCGATACGTAGGATTTACGAGTAAATATACGTAAATATTTTTAAAAACATAACTCATGGGATTATCAGATTTCTCAAAATTTGTACATACTCATCTGTGGTTTCTGAACTTTTTGGCAAGCTAGTTGAAACTGTAGAACCCCGTACATCAGTCGATAAGTTACCACCACTTGCCAACCGACTGTAGAAAAATACATTGAACAAATAAGTAGCTTGTTTCTGGAAATTTGTAAGCTGTTCAAAATATAAATATTTGAGATAGAAGTTAATTATAGCATCATTTAAAAGAGCTCCAGGTGCAAGACACTCAATGTCGTTATTGGTTATTGTTATACTATCGGTAGACCCAGGAGGCTTGTAGTCAAACTTCCTATAATCAATAGAACAACATTAAAATAAACCTACTGTTAATTTGACATTAAGGCAAATGAAATGAAAAGTTTGAAATTAATATACAGTAGTGTGTTCTGATAGCACTTTTTAGCGGGTTAGTTTTCTACGGAATAGGGTCGCTGACCGTATACCCACCTCTCCTCCTTTATCTGGTCGTAAGACCGGCAGTAATACTAGAAGGGTCGCAGAGAGGAAAGACATGGGAAAATAAATAGCGATTGAGTAGAACTGGAAAGAAAGGTCGAGGACAGAATTAGGTGGAAAAAGCTGGTTGGTAACTTATGTTCTAATACGGCAAACCAGAGTGTGTTCTGTTCAAACGTATAGGTGTGTGAGAGTTTGAAGTTGATTCAAATACCAATCATTCGACATCATTGAAGTTTGAACATTAATCATTCTGCGACGAAATCATTTATGAGGTAGTTATATTATACAAATTACCTTGTCTTGTCTGAACAGTTGTCTACTTTTACCTGTTATCACTGCCTTTTCCATCTCTCTAGCTTTCGCTACCCATCACTGTTCGCGATCATTGTGTAAGCTTCTTATCAACCTGTGCTTAAGCTGACAACGCTTCTCATTGTGTTCACAGTTGTTGTTTTCACAGCCTTTTGGATATTGTTCCAAGTTGCCTCGGTGTGGGTATTATTAATATGGCCGCCTAACTGTTTTTTCCGAAATATACTCTTAGCATTGCTATCATCAAGCAGAACCCTAAGGTGCTTCCCAGAAGTGTCTTTCCTACGTACAGTAAGCCGCAAACAAATACGCGTTCGCACCACTATCACCTCATCAAAGCGCTTAACGTTTTGGAGGTCCGGAAGCTGTCTGTAAAATTCATCTTTTACCTCGTCTGGTCTTCAGTCAGTGGGAGTGTAGGCAGATACAACGAAGTGACGACGGTGTGTGCCCATCTTTACGAGTCCTTACTGTCTCGTTTAGTCGGACAATACACAAGCGACTGTCTACTGGGATACAGTCTAAGAGAGATAGTTCTGTCCTAGGACTCAATGCAGGGCTTCCCGTTACATCAAGTGTGAATTGAGATGGCTCTTTATTTGGACAAGTTGAACCTGTATACACGTTTCGGATACACAGCATACATCAATGGCGCGAGATTCCAAATTCCTAGCTAGGGAAGATTACTGCCCCATTTGACACAATGTCCAGACATTAAAAGTTCCCACATGTAGTTTAGAACGCGGTTTCAAGAGACCAGGAAGAATGTTTTGTGAACTCGAATCGTTTCCTTTAATAGTGCATGGTGATGAAGGAATGTGAGAAGTGTTAGTCATGGAGGTAAGAAAGACGTTTGTAGATGTAGGAAAGATTTGATTGTGACCGATTCGGTCTCGTTTGTTGTTACGAGTATGAAGGCGGATGTCGCTTTCCGGTTGACATACCGCGGAACGAAACCTGAAAAGGTAGGTAGATTAGTGTTGGTCTCGACAACCTGAGAGCCTGATCGCAGATCCCGAGGAACGACTGGTTGAGACCAGACACGCACGATCTTTATATGGGGAGTTTGTAAAGTGTTGGCTCCGTTGTTTTCGAAAGGCCTTACCTACGCAAACATGAATCCATGAGATAAAGTGAGGTGTGACACTTTATGTTGACCTTTGCAAGCCTCACCTTACCTTGTGAGAAGGCAGCATCACTGCAGATGCTGGGTGCCCGAAGGAAATACCTTACTGCTGTCAGACCCCTCTGTAGTCAGCAATACGACTTCGTCCTCAGACTTTGAGTTGCAGCTTTTAATCATACCGTTCTCCAATCGACCTGGCTGGTATGGTAGAACCTACAGTAACATATGTTCCAATCAATATAGCTCGGTTGGGCTGTCTCGATAGTCAAGGTTGACAACCACCTCAAGGTAGCAGCTACGGTCAGGAGTAAGATTCGGAGGGCTTACATCAAAATGCTGTTCAGGTCAAATGAAAATCGTGGGTAACCGAAGTGTGCCTGAAGGCCGGTTGAACCGCTTCCTGAAGTGTTCTGTCCATCGATCCAATCTCTTTGATTGAGAACTGGTAATAGTCTCATTCTTTTACGTGATAGTTTTGCTAAGTCGGCTTCCTAATACCGGTTTCCTTTGTGAGTGACAAGATCTGGCTGACAGAAATCTTTTACGTTCAGCTATAAAAACTTTTGTTACTATAGTCAGTGTTGATAAAACAGCCAATACAATTAAGAAAGTAAATGTTAGCGGGACAGAGATTGCATTAAAGCATGTTCCATACACAATTGCGTTGTTGCACACTGATTGGCTCTTTCGTATTCAATCAGTGCTAGTCAAGACTGGGGGAACGTTCTGGAATCTTCTCATGTAAAAACTATAAATACACTAACGTTTTTTCCTATTGGGCTTCTTACTTCCATCTAACCTTGTTATTGTAATATAATCTCTTTCCTGTTCAACCGTGTTCTGATTTGGGAGAACGTCTCGAATGAATTGGTGTCCGAGAATACTAAGCATTCGGAATAGCTGGGTTGTAATAAGAGAGAATTATAACAGTAAACTTCATTGAACCGGTTAGGTAACGAAAATTAACAAACAATCATAGAGTATTAGTAGTTGGTATTATTGATCAAGACAAATACACAAATCAAAGGAGGCATAAATGGTAAGAAGACAGTTAAATTCCAGAATTTTCAGAGCATTAAAATTCGGAGAGCAGAAAACACCTGAGTATACTAATGTTTGTATAATTATTAGTAAGTAGAGGCATATACGGATTCAAAGTGATGGTAACATCAGTATCTACGTTATCGAACTCGGTATTAGGAAAACCAAATATAATATACCCCGATGTGGATTTATAACGAGTTAAATTACTGACTATTCAGTCAGTTGACTTGGTTGGTTGGTTTCAAAGCATAATTGTTGGTACCGAGGGATAAAAAATATGTTTGCTTCATGCAGGTCGACAAATCTGTGTGGGTTGGAGTACTGCTCTTGTGACAAACCCAAAGCAGGTGGTGTTCTTAGGGGGCCACACTCCAAGTCTTTTACCCATAATTCCAACCCACAAGGCATTGAAGCAACGTTAGGAGCTGTAGTCCTACGGTCGCTAGTGACCAACAATAGGTTCATACACCATTCGTCCTCTTAGTATACTGCAGCCCATGTGCACTACTGACTTGAAGTCACGGACTTCCGATTCCCGCAAATAGATTTTCCGTATCCATCAATCCAGTTAATGCGCCGGACACTCGTTTTTCATCCTCTCAATTTCGTGAACAGTACACCTGCCACGTGAATGTAGTG